CTATATATATATATATACATATATATACACACACATACATACACACATACATATGTAGGCTTTAATAATTGTCTATACTATCTTGGGGGCTCCTTACTATAACTATAGTATGCTGGGCCCCAAACCCTATTCCAAATAGATCGGCCCCTATATCACACACATACACGCACACCCACAGACACCCACTGACCGAGGCTCCAAAACATCCACCCTAACCTTAAACCCCAAATCTCAAACCCTAAATCTTAAATCCTAAATCCTAAACCCTAAATCAAATCTGAAACCCTAAACCCTAAATCTTAAATCCCAAACCCTAAACCCTAAGCAGGATCCCTGGCCCAGGTTTGGTCCCAGACCCGGCGCGCGTCATGACCGAAGTTTCGCGGCTGCGCGACAACCAGCGGAAGCTTGCTGATCCTTGACATTGGGAGTATTCCATGCTGGGGTGTTATTGTTGCTATTACGTACTACTATTGCTGGTGTTTCGACTGTTAGTGCTATTTCGACTGTTATTTCGATAATGATGATTATGGCGAAGATGGTTCATCATTCTTCTTCTTGTTTTTATGCTCCCTCTTCTTCTTGCTTCCTGTTTTCCTGTTGCAGCTTTCGCTATGATGGGTCATATCGGTGTTAGTATTCTGATTGTTGTTACTGCTGCTGGTGCTGGTGCTGCTGGTGCTGTTGTTGTTGTTGTTGTTGTTGGCATTAAGTCGGTGACTATGACTACATGATGACGGTGACTATAGCCATGGCATGTGTTGTTATTTGTTCGTCATTTTCTTAGTATCTTGTTCTTATGATGAGTTCTGATGATTGCGATTTTTTATGACTATGGTGATTACTATGACCAAATGATGTTGAGTATTACCGTTGTTATTCTCAGCTTTTATTGTTGCTATACTGACTACAGCCAGCTGATTTTTATCGCTATTGTTATTGTTCTTCTTGCTATTTCCGCGGCACTTGTGTGTTCAAAATTGTTTGCTTCGCATTGCGGCTGTCTTCATATTGTGAGCAACAACTTACCACTGGCATTGCTGGTGTTGTCATCTGATACTTACTGGAGTTGCGGCTTGTTGTTGTTTGCTTTTGGCTTGTGTTGTTCTCCCTTCTTCCTTCTTTTATTGCGAAGGGAGTTTGGTGTTGGGGTTGAAGCGTTTCGACAGAGCGAGGTGCTTAGTCCTGTCTTGCGGAGCTGCGTTCGTTTGGACTAAACCTTGAACGACACAGATGGGCTTTGGCATGTTGGTAGTTCTCTAAAGTAAGGCTCCTTTCTAGATTCTAGGTGCCAAAGTAGCACACAAGCTTTTAAAAGGAACCAAACAGGACCCTAATTCAGACAACTACCCATGTGGGTTTGGGTTCAATCTGGCGAGCAGAGTTGCAGATGCGCCGAAGATGCACCACAGTAAGCTGTACCAGGGTGTAGGGTTGAGGGTTTAGTTTGGGTTTAGGGTTTAGGGGTCAGGGACCCTGAGCCCTAAACCCTAAACCGTCCCTAGAACCATCTTTTTTGCATAGTAACTTGCGGCAAAGGCCGTTCTGCATACCAGAGCAGCAAAGCATTTCAATGCATGAGGCAAACCCAAGGTTTTGACATCTGACCATTCCCACAACAGAATACAATACTTTAGTAGACTTGTATGATATAGTTTGATAAATTATAGTATATTAGATGGTACAATAACAACAAAGTATGAATTTTTAGCTCAGTTAGATATAGTTCAATATCCCCCACGTCGGCGAGTTTGAGCCGTCTTATAAGACTCGAGGCCCCCCGACCTCAAGCTTCAACCACAACCCGAAACCCAAGCCCTAGCAAAGCCTAAAGCCAGAAACCGCAAATAGAACCGTTATAGGAACCCTCCTAAACCCTAAACCCCTAAACCCTAAACGTCGCAGTAGCCCGATATCCAGCCCTTGTCTGAAGCCTTTAGCCGCAAGCTGTCTTTAGAGTTTAGGGTTTGCGGTTTAGGGTTTAGTCTTAGAGCCCCTTTGAACTCCTCTCCAAACTCTAATGAAACGACCCGTTTTGAAACCCTGCATGTATTAAATGCGTAGAGACCTTGACGATTAGAGAGGCACGTCTCAATGCTCCTTGGCGTCATTGTACCAGAATGCATCCTCGAAAACCCAGCTTTAACTTTCGGCATCTTCCCTCAACGCCCTAAACCCTAAACCCCAAACACTCTAAAACCTAAAACCCTAAGCCCCAGACACCCTAAAATACATATATATATATATACATATACATATACATGTATATATATATATATATATATACAAATCCTAAAACCCTACAGAAGGGGACGCCGTGGACGCTTGTTTGTTCCTTGTCGGTTGTGTTCCCAGCCGGTGCCCTGACTTCATGACTTAAATTTTTTAAGTCATTAAGCCAGAGCACCGGCTGGATCCAAGATCCAAGATTGCAAAAAAGTTTCTTGGATCCATCTTGGATCCAGCCGGGGCCCTGACTTAATGACTTAATAATTATTTTCAAGTCGTTAAGTCGGGGCCCTCCCGGATCCAAGATCCAAGATTGCAGGGAAAAGTTTCTTGGATCCATCGTGGATCCAGCTCGGGCCCTGACTTAATGACTTAATTTTTTTAAGTCGTTAAGTCGGGGCCCTCCCGGATCCAAGATCCAAGATTGCAGGAAAAATTTTCTTGGATCCATCGTGGATCCAGCCGGGGCCCTGACTTAATGACTTGAGTTTTTTAAGTCACTAAGTCGGGGCCCTCCCGGATCCAAGATGGATCCAAGAACCTTTTTTCTGCAATCTTGGATCTTGGATCCAGCCGGGGCCCTGACTTAATGACTCAAGTTTTTTAAGTCATTAAGTCGGGGCCCTCCCGGATCCAAGATGGATCCAAGAAACTTCTTTCTGCAATGTTGGATCTTGGATCCAGCCGGGGCCCCGACTTGATGACTTAATTTTTTAGGTCATTAAGTCGGGGCCCTCCCGGATCCAAGATCCAAGATTGCAGAAAAAAGTTTCTTGGATCCATCTTGGATCCGGGAGGGCACCGGCTTAATGACTTAAGCTTTTCAAAACTTTAAATCGGGGCGCGTGGCTCTCGGAGCGGATCCAAGAGTTTGTTTCTGCAATGTTGGTTCTTGGACCCAGGGGGGCCCAGCATTGTCTGTCTGGCACATAACGGAAACCTCAATGGAATTCCACCTTTCCACATGTGCTGCGTCCAAAGCCACAGAGCTCTGCAAACGTGGAAATGTGGAATTCCATTGGGCTTTCCATATTTCCACATCTGTTGATCTTAATGCTGCAGAGCTCAGGATCATAGGGCTCCCAATAATTATGTACTATAGTCTACTCCACCATACCAGAGTACAGGTGTGCCGCTGATATACTATAGTAGCCATTTGTTTTTGCACACCATTGCGAAACTATGCAACACCGTAACGTCCAAGGTTATCCTATATTGCGTTGGTGCTAGACTACGCTATGTTTGAATGTAGTAAGTTGCACTACCATATACCAAGCCCCTTTGTGCTATGCTGGATTACACGATACCGCATTGCATTGCATAGCAGTCGACACTGTGCCATACAATACTTGATAATAAATCGTCATCTATGCTCGAGTTTGCTGTACTGGGTTTGCCCGTATTGAAATGTACTACATTGCACTTTGCTATACTAGACTGCATGACACCATACTAGATTATGGCGTCAATGCTTATCTTTAATACATTGTACTATGCTACGTTCTAATAACCTAAATTGAAACATTAAACATCATATCATATGCATAGCCGATACAAGCAATTGAAGGCCCTTCGATTAGTCCAGTGAAAGAAGATTAGCCTAATGGGAAGTCGAACTCATGATTTTATTCATCTTATACGTGGACAGCACACACACTACCAAAGAAAGTACAGCCTCAATTCGTACTTGCGATATACCCCACCATTTTGGCACCGAGAGTACTGCGAGCAGATACCCTGTGGTGTCGACCCCGAGCCTTGTGAGTGGATATGTGGTGTGCATGGTACCACATTCTTCGGTTCATGAACGCAAATCGCTCTTTCTATGATCTATGCTCGTGCTTTATATAATGAACGAGAACTGACGGCAGAACAGTACACTAGACTCTTGACTATAATTCGCTATACTATGCTAGCGCACTATACCTTGCTATATCATGCTATGCTCTACTATACCCTCCGAAAATAGTAAACAGGGCCATGCAACAGTGTATTATCCTATACCATGTTGCGGTAGTGCTGTACTGGAGTATCGTATCCCAAATAGTGTATGCTATACCGCACTGTAATATAGCCTCAACGCTACAATATGCTATCGTGTGCTTCACTGCCAATGTCATATCACAACATATTGTAATACACTAGACAAGAACATAAGGCTGATCTCTGCCTTCTACCTTCGATCTACAGTGTTCATATTCAACAGTTTCGGATGATATCAGACTACCATAATCTGTATCTATAGCATAGTACACATATTCGGCTGTTATCCCCCCCGGGTTATTAAATGTAGGATTGGGGGGGCGCATAAATGCAGGAAGGGTTTTCTACAATTGCGGCTTTCTGCGTGAAGTTCACGTGGGCCGGGGGGGTCAGGCTTCTTGGGATGTCTGGTAGTTGTGATGTCGCAGGCTCGGATCCGTCGGGGTTGTCTGGCACATTGACAAGTTGCTCTTGCCCGATATTCAATAGCAACTTCTGACAATCACCGTGCTTGCGGCAGCCGTCGATTGTCCGGTAGCGTCAGCTAGTTCCCGGAGTGTGTGGTAGCAACATGACCGGCCGTCGTGCGCGTCTGGTGAATGAGCCCGAAGCACCTGTTGACGTGCTGCGCCCTGGCCGAAGACAGCCGGCAACATGCGCCGGGGCCTTATTTAGTAGGGGTTGACTGGCTCTATAGGATGGTGTGGCTGTCTGCAGGGATCCCGGGACTGCTGCTTCGAGATGCTGCCGATGCAGTATGACCTCACGAGTCGTATCTGGCGGTGCAGGTGCGTTCGAGATCTCTTGCGGGGGGCAAGTGTCGTTCAAGTGCCAATCCACATGAAGGGGGATTGGCAGGTGCAAGATGGTTTCTGCAGTCGGCCGCAGTTCTCATCACGAGTGCTGGACGCCCTGGCCTTGAATCTGCTTACGATCGCTTCCTTGCACACGATCATTCTGAGGCCAGGAGGCAGCATCGACTGGGTGTACACCAATCGGACACCGGACCTTGCATCCATCCAGAAAGCTCGCTCCGCAATGGAGAAGGCGTGCGCGTTTTATCTAGGAGGCTGAGAAGTTTCATTGGCTCCGACCTGCGCCGAGCCCTGTCGCAGGACCTGCAGTCGAATGTGGCGAAGGCCGGTTCAAAACCAACTGTTGCCTCCGATGTTTCACGTACTGACGACCCGCACCCACGTGAGGCCGATGCAACAGAGCAGGCCGACGA